TATTAAATATATTTTCTCTGTTTACCAAAACAAAAATATTTTCTCTTTCTTTGAGTATAAAAATTAATTGTGTTATAAATTTTTTTTTCTGGGAGAAGTTATAGTTATTACAATTTTTTTTCTTACTACTTGTTACTACCAAATCTTAACCGTTTATTTCTGTCAATATAACGGTTATAATTTATTGGGTCACGCTTATTAATTAATTATTAATTCTAATAAATTATAACCGTTAAATTGACGGAAATAAACGGTTAAGATTTAGTAGTAACAAGTAGTAAAAAAAAGGTAATAAGTATAACCTCTCCCTCCTTTTTTATACCAAAAACTCTTTCTTAACACAAAAATAATAATCAATTTTTTTTTTCTTTCTAAAAACGGTATCAAAGAAAGAAAGAAAGAATAGAAATTGTTTTCGTACTAGCATTCATGGTTGATATGGTAGTTGTTGGAAGACAACGCTACAATGTCCCTCGTTCGAACGCTGGTAGATGAAGAAGAAATTGTTATCATACAATTTCACATAGTACCCTCCATCTTTTTATTTTCCTAAAACAATGTGAAATTTTATTATAAGAAGAAGTGTGCAAAGAACATTTGTGTTGTGATTACTAATTCTTTCCGCGGCTCTGGGTTTATGCTCAGCTATTGTGGAGTAGAGGTCATTTTTTGGGAAAAAAAGTGGAAACTAGGAAAGCTCTTAATTTTTTATTTTTTTTCCTTTCCTCTCTTCTCTTTGTTTGTTAAAGAAGAAAAAGAATCCAAAACGCGAGTTCACAGAAAGTGGGGAATAAACTTGGGGCTATTAGGCCTTTTCATACAATCTTGTATCAAGTATTTGGATTATTCGGAACATATGGAATCTTATATTTGAGCTTATATTCAAACTTTCCTTATAGACGAATAGCCTTCCAGTTTTGCCTTAACCATTTGAAATGCTGTTCTGTGGTCCATCCACTCCATTCCTCAATTCTCCTAGATGCCCCTTACTCAAGAAAAAAAGGAAGTTTAAACTTCAGAGAATTCAAATGTAAGTAATAAAATCTTGTATCGGAAAGGAATGAAATAAGTATGAAATATACAAGTGAAATGAGCCATACACCTAACACCTTAAAATTTTGAATAGAAATGCACTCTCAAATCCACTAATGAATTGTTGCTTCATTGTTAAGTGGAATACCTTGTTACTGTTGTTTCACTACATATATAAGATACTATTGGAGGGAAAAATAATTTGTGCTCGAGTCCTATGTGATCCTTCCATTCAGGGGTAACACTTGAATAAAAAATTATTTTTCATTTCTCTTGTCTCTCCGATAGTTGTTTGATTTTGATTGGTTTGAATCACTGAGTTAATGATGGTTTGGAATCACTAAAATTCTTCTCCTATTGGAGACCACTCAGACCAGCATGTGAAAAGTGTGTAGAAGGGGGCGAAGGGGGACCATGCATATTTAAAAGGGTTTTATTAATCTCATGTAGGAGATAAGTAATCTCATGTCATAGAGATAAATTTGTAGGCTCCACCACCTGAAAAAGAAAAGAAAAAAAGAAAAAGAAAAAAAAAGGTGGCATAATTATGGAAGGGTGTGTAGGAGAAAAAGTTATCACATATAGCATAAAAGTAATTTTTCCCTATTTAAAATTGTTGGTCACGCACTTCATATAAAAAAACTGAGTTTAGATTTCTGTCTATTGTACTGCCGTTTTTACTGTTTTCTTGGAGATGGGGTTCCTCTAATGCAAATAAGTACAATGGAAGATACACTGGTGGCCGGCCACTGTTAGCATAAGGCCACCAAATTTTATCAAAATGAATCGAGACACAACATGAGCTTGACCATCCAAAACTCTGTTACTTGTCAAAATTCTTTGGAGTCCAATCGGATCAAGCTTGAGGATGAGGAGGAATAATTATAGCAAGACAAGAGTACTTGATAATGAAAATTCAGCTAGAGTTGGCTTTACGAGAAGGGTAAGTGATTGGTGAGCCCTCCTAGTCATGTGATGTTTGTCCTCCTCGCGAGGGCATCATAATGAAAGAATGATTGGTAATTATGTATTTACCAAAAGTAATAGAAGCAATTTTTTTTTTAATATTATCTGCCCGTTCATCAATTACTCAATTAATTTAATACGAGTCGAATAGACCTACTCTTTAGTACCATAACAATAGGCATTTTTTTTTTTTTAAAAAAAAAAAATGGGACTCAGGTTACATTAATAATAAAAAATAAATAAAATAAATATAGTTAAGTGGGTTATTTTTTCATCTCTGGGTTATTCTCACGTAACCTCATGTCGGACAAGTGTAATTATTTATAGAGTAACGAGAAAAGAACGTTAAATGAGATTAAGAAAGTAAAAACTACTCTTATGTTACATGTGATAACTTTCTCTTCTACACACTCTTCGATAACTGTTCTATCTTTTTTTTTTCTTTTTTTTTTTTCATGTGGTGGAGCCCACAAATTTATCTCTATGACATAAGATAACTTATCTCTTTTAACATGAAATTAATAAAACCCAATTAAAAATGATCCATGTTGATTTACCAGCATGCAAATTCATTAACATTCTTCCATTCAAAAGATTATGGGAGTGAATCTTTTTATCTAAAAAAATGATCATGTTATCTGATCATAGTCACTTATTTAATAATTATATTTTTTTTTCTCTTCTCTTATCATTAATAAATGATTATGATCAAATAATATGATATTTTTTTACATAAAAAAATCCCCTCCCAAAAATTACACTGGGCAATCATAATAAACTGGACAATATGCTTATTTTGTTGCTCTATCAGATGGGACATGCACTTAATGGGTGAAACACAGTCAAATCTTGCAGGGGTGCGCGCCTCTGCCCTTAAATCAATGACACCGCAAAGGAAGCACGGAAAGTTATAAAAACAGGAAGAGTCGGGTCCGACACGCTCCGACACGCTCCGACACAGTGTCGGACACGCGGTTGACTTTTTCCGACACGTTGACCATTTCGACACGCGAATTTGACCGTGTCCGACACGGTCAAATGGCATTTTCAAAATTTTTTTTTTAATTTTTTTTTTAATTTTTTTTAAAAAAATTTAGTTTTTTTAAAAGTTAAAATATATTAATAAAGCTTCCACCTGATCATATCAATTTTATCTTTTTGTCTTTTTTCCCCTTAAGTAGATAAGAGATCATCTCAGCATCATTGTTGTCAATTCTTATCACGCTCTTGTTGTATCTTCTTCTCTCTGATCTCTCTCTAATATGATTGGATCTCTCTATCTGATATTATATCTCTCTCTCATCCCAGTTCTTATTTTTGTTATTAAAGCTTCCATCTTTATAACGTGTTGATGGATATTATTAATTTAGTTTCATTTTTTTGTTAAATTATTAAATATTAAATGAAATATACACTATATAAATTAAAAATATTATTTAATATTAAAACGTGTCCCAACGCGTCGAAATCCATAATTTTTTAAGATTGACGTGTCGGAGTGTCGTGTCGTGTCGTGTCACGTGTCGCGTGTCGTATCGGTGCTAGATTAATGCCAACATTCATCATTACGGAGGCGATATAGAGAGAGCCAAAATATCAATGCTAATATTATGCGGGACTTGACTTGTGTTCCAATGATGCATGGTTTTTTTTTTAACGGGAAAATTGTTTATTATTTTATATAACACAACTTATATTTTTTATTCTCACAAAAAGATGAGATCCACACTTTTATTTTTTTGTCAACTCTTTTTTTTTTTTATCTATCTCTTTCTCTCTTAAAATGACATAACTTTACATTCTTTAAAATGACACATATTTTCCCCTTTTTTTATAGCCTGAAAGTCGATAAGAGTTGGAATCAAATTCTTCTATCTTAAAGATAGAGATGTCTAGTCCAATGAATTAATATGTTGTTATTGGATTTAGGTGTTCTCTCCAAGGTATTTTTGGACGAAATATCTTGAGTCAAGCAGATTACTGTGCACTGAATAATAAATGGCTTTGCCAAAGGAGATGTGTATGTGCATAGTAACAGCATAATAGTAAATGAAAAAGCGTAACGTGGTTTTACCTCTTATTTATAGAGTTTATCTGTGGATAATAGATTCTGGACCTTTAGTGCCTCTGATGATGGCCCAAGCCCATATATTATTCTGTCGTATTAGAATTGATATTTTTGATAGATTTCCTTTCATACTTATGTCTTACTTATATCTCAGATTACCTCTTGTTAAGCTTGTTGATTAATGGGCTTCGTATATCGGTCCATACCACAAAGTAACACAAAAATTTATGAGGCTTTACATGTTTCACTATCCTCTTAATGTGGTACTCTTACTCTCTATTATATTTTAGCAACTATTTATTTATTTTTCTTAAAATTGATTACGTTCACCCAATGAAAAAAGTTTCTTAGTGTAACATGACTCCAAATTTATTTTGTCCCAGATTGTTCTGTCCTGTTTGTCTGTTATTCTTGTCAGGATAATACTTTTATTTCTAAAAGATTCTTTCTTTAATGAGATGGGGTTACTCTATTCAGTCGCAGTCTCGAGTAAACAGGTGCACATGCAGATCCAAGCAAGAGATAAGTTATTATCCATGTAAAAAACTTAAAAGTGCCCCCTTTTTTTATCATCTATTTTGTCCTCTTTACTTTCTCTTTCGAGTGGTGAAGTTAGAAAAACACTAGCTTTAGGACAAGTTTTGTAATCTAGGAACAAAGATACTTGTATTGGATATGTTTTAGCACCTAAGCCTCTTTTAGTGCCCCCTGCCTCTCCCTTTGGTAGCCTCTTTCTTTCTTTGGCTAAACAAGCTTTCGAGGTTGTGAAATCATAAGCTATTATAAAATGGAAAAATAAAAATAAAAATAAAAATAAAAATAGATGTTTCTTTTTTGTAGAAATATTTCCTTCCAAGCTAATCTAACTATACAAAAATATTACAACTACAAGTATATGAAAGAGTGGACATGGAACTGTTCAATATGAAGCTTTGTTTTTCATTGTTTTTTATTGCAAGCTGCTTTTCGAGATGATTGACATTAACTCATTCGCTGTCCATGTCACTAGGGAGAGATTTTGGAGATGTCTGTGTGAGTCTTCGTGTAGCGGTGGCAGATCAGAGACACCTGCTATGAAAAAAATGGAAAATGAAGAACGTGGAAATGAAAAAAAGTAAAAGCAACTACTTCAACTCAAAGGTGAATATTATACACACACTTTTTTCTTCTTCTTTTTCTTTCCTATCTTATACTCATTTATTAATGTGTCAAGTAAAGTTTCATTAATTATTTTACATTATATTTCTCTAAAAAAAAAATTTTGAACCCCATTTTATTGGGATCTGCGCCTATGATGCTAAATAGAAAGTTTGAGAACTATACTGACAACTACTCCTTTAAGGGCAAGTTTGGCATAACACTGAACATGGCAAAATTATCATACCTGAGTTTTGTACAAGACATAGCAATGAATATGAAGCTAGCACTCTTGCCTCAGCATCCTTATCAAAATTCAAGGATTTTAACAACACTGGAGTGAAGATTGAGAGAGCCATTGGTGGCAACTTTCTATCATCAACTAAGTGTAGGTAGCTGCTCATCCATGAAATTGTTACAAGACTTGCTCGTGCTAAACTTGGGATACCATTGGCTGCAGAATCTGCGAGTGCCAATAGTAAATTCTTATTTCCACTTTTGAACAAGACACTGGCTGCTCTATTTCGCCAACTTTCACCTTCATCATCCTCTTCATTCTAATCAACAACAACAAACAACCAATCAACAATTTTGAATAGCAAGTAGTACTAAAAACACGTCTTTTTTCTTATAACTAGGGACTAGTAACATGACAATCACATAATTATAATCCAAAGCCTACCTTGTGAGCCAAATCATAAACAACAATTTCCTTGCCATGAGAGGAATCTTCTAAGCAACTTTCTCGGAAGCCAGCTTGTTGTAGAAGTGCTTTTTCCATTAATGATTCACCTGTAGAAGAAAAGTGGCCTGCTAACAAGAGTAGAGCTCTGGCTAGTTGCTCTTGGATTATATCATTACATATTTGACAATTTAAAGCAGCCACAACTGCTTCAATGGCTTCTTCTCTATATAAGCTTCCTTTGAAAGGATCTTCCTGCAACAACACTGCTATCCCATTTGTGAACTCTTCAATATACTAACGAAGGGTTATTCGGTCTAAAAGTTTGATTATGATATAATAATTATGTACAGACCAATATTTCAATATATAAATTAGTAAGTTGAAAGAATTACCATAAGATCAAGCAGCAATAATACCATTGCAACTAGAGGGCTTTCTTCAGGTGGAGCCCTTTGAAGGTAAATGAACAGAATGTGCATTGTGTTTAAGCCACCCCATCCATCTTTAAGTTCCCTTAAGAAATTTAAAATCTTGGTGGTTCTGGCACGATTTCAAAACACTATTAGCACTTTCTGATAAAAAATAAGGAACAGCAAAAGAGATAAAAATAAAAATACTAAACAACATATCAGGGAGAAGTTAGGAAGTGAAGTACATGCCTATCAAGGAAGAGTAACTCAGCTAGCACTGAAAAGGCATATCCACTGGAATTTTTACTATTCCCAAGAACAATGAGTTCTAGTAAAGAAGTCTTATTTATATTGTCAGATAGAAAACTCCTGCAGCTTCCTTCAGCACAAATGCAACAGTAAATTATCAGAACAGCATTATTTCTCTCATGTTCCTCTCCTTCTTCTATTCTTCTCATAAGCAGGGTCAATCCCCCAAGTGAAACAACCTGCCTCGCATTCTCTAAATTCCTATCTTCATCAAAACCAGTTAGAAGTTGGTCCAAAAAGTAAATTGCTGCCTCTTGAGGATTGCATTGTACTGTGAAAAGGGTCAGAACTATGTCCCCAAATTCTAATACTCGAAGTACTAGTGGCACCCATTCTGGTGATAACATCTGATTTGCTTGCGGCTTTAACAGATAAAGCAGAACTGCAGCTTTTAGAAATAGACCAGTGCTTCTCAAAAGTCTCACAAAAATTTCTAGTTGTGGATCTGAGCTCAATATAATTTGTCTGATTGCACCATTCCTTTCTACTAATTCTGCTAAAACCGATATAGCCAATTCTAGAATATCATCATCACTGGAGGAAAACAATACCTCCAGAATGGCCTCAATTACACTAGATTGTGTCAGTGCTTCTTCAATTAGAGGGTCACCATGAGACTTCAACCAAGTGTTGGTAATCACACGAATTGCAATTTCACATTCGCTTAGAATATCTGATGAACATATAGTTTTAATAGCTCCAACAAACTCACTTGAAAGAACAGTTGTTTTATCTCTGAATGAAGCATTGTTGGATGTATAGTTGCTGTTCGCCAAGCTTTCTGCTCGTATAGCCCTGCAAGAAAAGCATTGAAAATAGTCCAATCTCTGTGACTCTGACCTTAATTCAGCATGATTCTTGTCAATTCGCCTTGATGATCTTCCAAAGTATATCATGTCTTCTTTCTGTCAAAGGTGAGAGAGAGAGAGATTATATTTTTCAAATGCATTCCCATGTTTTACATATGCTATGAAATGAAGACACAGAAACTAACCTGAAATGAACTACAGTTATATTCATCTCCATACAAATTTTCACCAGTCCTTGAGCCCCATCTAATTGTCAGCATTCCATTTTGGTCAGCAAGAGTTGTTGGTTTCGGTTCTAGTTCGGGACCAAATACTTCCTTGTATCTATTACAAGCAACCAAATCATATAAACATATAACTACCACACACATATATTTGCTTCTTGTGAAAAGATGACTGGATAGAATAGTGAATGTTAGATGTCCATGACACTCACAAGTTTGGTTTGATCGAGGAATGCAAAACGAAAGAATCTGAAGACCTTCTTCTTCTTGAGGATCCATGACTTGGTCTTGATGGCAAGGGGACAATAGGAAGAGGAGGCTCATTAGCCCCAACTTTAAGCCATTGCTTGTAATACAAAGCAAACATAGTAGTTCCTGTATCCACTTTGTTATCATACACTTTGCTCAAAGATTTGATTTTCATTTCCTTCTCACCATGACATTCACTTGAAGCTGAAAGGGTCTCAAGCTCCTCGGTATACCAAATTTTAAGATGGAGAAGGTGAGGAAGAAACAAATGCTCCCAAAGGTCAGGAAGCAAGTAGGTTCTAGCCAAAAATGGTGAATCACAAAACACTTGCAATATATGCCTAGCACAAATTCTGTCATTCTTTTGAAGCTTGTAAACTATTGCCAAGTAGAGCTGAGCACAAGCAGAGAGATGGGAATTGGGTATTCCACAAGTTGAAGAAGCTTCCCTAGAGGCTTTAGAATTCAATGAAGCAATTATGGTTAAAAGCTCAATGGAATTCCTCAAACTTTTAATCTTTAGCTCTTTCTTTGTTCCTTGATCTTGTACTAATTTATCAATATTCTCCATGCCCAGTTTCATGTTTACAAGAATCTCATTATCTGATTCTGAACCGTTTCTTCTTCTGACCAAGCAAGAAATGCACTTGTCTAGGATTATTTTCCTGAAACAGTCATCCTTTACATATCTTCCAATATAGCCACTGAGGATGGCGATCACTGCTCTGATGGCAACTTCATCCATAGGGGGTCCCCCCACTGTTCTTGAATCCGGTGATACCAATGACTTGGAATTCTTCGATATTTCAGAGGCTGAACCAACCCTTTTGGTGGTGTTGGATTGAGGTGACCTAGACCTATTTTTTATAGTGGACTTGTCTAACTTGTGCTTGGAGCAATCGAGGTTTTTTCGATCATGGCAGATGTATAAAGGGAGTGATGTTTTCTCTTGAGTTTCTTGTAAAAGTTTGTGTTTTGACCTCAGTGGTTTAAGGTTTGGATGTTGGGCAGATTTGGTTTGGTTGAAGCCTTCTTTTGTGAGAAGTTCTCTAAGGGAAGTCATCTCTTTCCCTTGTTGAATGAGGGACAAATTTGAGCTTCACTGAAACCACATTCTTAAAATTCAGAGCCAATGAAGATAACAGAGAGACAGCTAGGAATAAGAGAAAAGACAATGAGGTGGGTGACTTTAGCAACAGCTATTAAGACAAAAAAGAGTGTTGTGTTAATCATCAATCATGGATGGTGAATCTTTTTAGGTCTCTTAATTGTAATATTATGTAAAGGCCAAACAAAATCCGTTTGGACAAACCGGTTCAGCTTAGTTAAACTTCATAGTCCACAGCACACTTCTATATTGAGTCACATGCAAACCGGATATCATATATCTAAATATTAAATTTTAGGGTAGAAGAAGCTAGAAAGATTATGAATTTAAACTAAAGTATATCATTGCAATAGTAATTTATCTTATATACAACTATATTGATTAATTCTCTCTACTCTAACTCAGAAAATGGCCGGAAAATTATATGTAACGTCTCATCTGCAGTCGGTTAATTAATATTCATATGATAGTAAGTACATTATACTCAACTTAATTAATGCAGAAGCTAATTAAATAAATCTTCTCTTTTTCCTTATATATTACAAACTTAACTACTACCATTTTTAAATATCACAGACGACATTCCGTATATATCTTGGACTATTGAGACTATCTCCCATCATGCAGTTATCACTTGATTAATAAATTAATATATCAAATAGGCAATTATCAAATAGGCAATTAAGCCCTTCCATCATATAACTGGCATTACCAAAATGAATGTAAATAGGTTTAACATCTCATCACCACATCCACAAGACCCTGACAATCATGTCAAATAGTATCTCTTATCTAACCTCTTGCCACGCGATGTCTCAACACCATTAGCTTCTGTACCTGAAATCAGTGTTATTAAAACCGGCCCGGCCCGGCCGGTTAACCCGGAAACCGGCCCATCAACCGGTCCGGTTATAACATTGGACCGCTTAAGTAATCGACTCGGCATTGACCCAGTGACCCGGTCATAAACCGCGGTCCGACCGGTAAACCGGTACCGGTTTTCCCTTCAAACCGGTTTTTCAAAATTAGTTACAAAATCTTTTTTTGCAGCAAGTGGGATTCGAACCCACTACCTTGGAGTGAGGAGAGCCGTTTCCTACCACTACGCCACCATCACTTGTTGAATAATTTATACTATTTAATATATTTATTATATAACTTTTAAGTTAAGAGAATTATTTCAAAAACTGCATATAATGGGGTTTGAACCCCTTGCATTAAGGATAAACAACATAGCAAATACCACTAAACTACATCAGTTATTGTGTAGATGACACCATTTAATATATTTATTATATAATTAAGTATAAAATATAAATTTATATATATATATCCGGTTCATGCGGTTCAATCAGTGACCCACCGGTTGAACCATTGACCCAGTGACCTGGTACCTAGACCGGGTCAATGACCGGTCCGGTTCTAATAACATTGCCTGAAATGGTAATTCCCATAACGCGGGGTGGGATAATATAATTACCTCAGTAAGCTAGGGACCCTTGGAGGGCTCCTCCACCCCTAAGCTAACTTTCGGTATAATCACAATACATAAAATATCTATGCATGCATCAGAATATGTATGACAATTTAGTGTGCAAATAATAAATCCTATTGGCCAGAGAATATAAACTGTATGAATTACACAAGGAAACACTGTCTTGCAATATATCGTATGAGGAAACACCATCTCATACTATGCATAAGAAAACACTGTCTTATGCCTTACACAAGGAAATTCCGTCTTGTGTGGCACATATAATGACCCCAAATGGTAAATCTTAATTAAAGATTTAATTTAAGGATTTAAATGTCATAATTAGATTTAGAACGTGATTTCTAGTATTTTAACTATAATCATGACTAGGTCATGAATAGTGCCTTCTGCCGGATATTCTGCACTGTATGTAACAACTAGTAGAGCTTGAAAATGAGCAAAATGAGGTTAGAGACCTAATTTAGCAATTCTGATGCCAAATATGAGTTCAGAATGAAAAAATGTATAGTGTGGCACTTTCCGTGAAAATCTTATGAATAGTATTTCTGCCGGGTATTTTGTATCGCTATTAAGCAACCGGTGGAGTCTAGAAGTGAATAAAGGATATAATAAGTATATAAAAGTCCAATATATGCCAAACAAGTCATGATAGACCCCAAAAGATATAAGTTTATAAGTTTTACGTTTTCATATGCAAACAGTGCATAGTTGGTGATTCACAGTGCATTTTATCAAAAACAGTGCAGAAAACCTAGTGTCAATTGTTAATATTGCTCCTTAGGGAATAAAAATTAATGTAAATGAGTTTAGAAAAATAAAATTTTGTCCATAGCTTTGAGTTAGAACCGGGTCAAGTTAAGTGAAATTAAGTGAGAAAAAAACACCCGTTAAAAAGCCACATGACCATATAAGCCCAAAGTCACTTAAACTTAGCACTATTCACTCATCATATCTCTCTTCTCTCACTCAAAACCCGCGGCTGCCATGGTGAAGGGGGGGGGGGGTTTAGGGTTTTTATTTTCTTTCTTTCTCACTCATTTAGCCACCAAAACTCTAGATGCATACATGAAAGTTTAAGTAGGAAGGCTAGTGAGTCCATTCCAGCACTTATTCTGGGCTGAAAGAGCTTGTGTGATGAGTTCTTCCCTTCCCCCTGCGTGTCACTATTCATTCAAGAGAGAAATTATGGGTTTTTGGTGCAGCCAAGCTTGCACAATTTTCACCCTAAATCCCCTATATGGCCGAATCCATGACACCTAAATACCATGGGATTTTTCTCACAAATTCCAAGCATCATACACTCCTACAATCCATTTAAACTTGATTCAAATCAACACAAATTCAATTACACAATTTTTGCATCATCTTGCCCAATAATTCCATAAGTGGCCGAATTGCACATAACCATAAACCAAAGGATTTTCAACTCATTTTCATACATCCAATGCATCATACATCATATGATTAACTATTACAACTAATCCATAACTCAATTTCATAATAATCCAACAATGCAATTTCACAAAATCTCAAGCTCATCCATCAAAATTCACTAAGTTATCAAACTTTTTTCTCAATAATTTTTATGAGCTCAATCATCATAATCATCATTCTAAGATATATTTGTCTAATGCACAAATTCAATTTGAGGTCTCCAACTACCCAAATTCACCAACACATTCAAATTTCATACCATTTCAAATCATCAACAAAACTCAATGAGATTGGGAATACTTACCACAAATGGACTCACAAGCCTCCAAAGAGTGATATTCAAGCATTCATCCAAGCCAAACAAGCTCCAATGGCCCCAATTTGCTCAAAATTTCGTAGCCTTGATGGAGGAATATCTCAAGATGTGGTTTTCAAGAAAAAATCACAACATGAATGTTGTTCACTAGATTTTTTGGATGAACTTTGATGTTGAGACCTTCTCCTAAAGATGTCTTGAACTCAAAGTAAAAATCAAGCTTTCCTTGGGTTTTCTAATGGTGCCATCGATTTTTGGGGCTGAAGCAAGGAGGAAGAAGATGCACTTTTTCAATTAGACATGTGTTCTTATGTCCGACTTAAGTGAGGTGGGCCCCATAAGTGCCACCTCCACTTAAACTCACTCATTTAACCCACTAATCTCTAATTAATTCATAAACTATCCATTAAATGAAAAACTTAACATTCACCAAAGTCCTTTAATTACACTTGATTAGATGAATCCGAAGTTTTCCGGTCATTCGGTGAAATCACTGTTCTATCCTGATATGTGCACCGTTGACACGTTTCCCCAAAAACTCTAAAACTCATCAATAATCATATTTCTTGGTCCTAAGTACCTTTCCAACTTATTAACCTAGAGCTCAAATTTCATTCTACACGTTTTTCGGTGCAACTGTATTGCTGTATTTTTACCCGGTAAAAACATTATTCATCAAATTTTCAAAAACTTGCCTAACCACTCAATTTTTCATTCAGAATCCATTTCCAGGGTTATATTTCCCATTTGAGACCTTCTACTAACATTTCACCGTTTAGGGTTACGTGTTTGTCAAATTATCATTTTACCCTTTTTACGTATTTTGACCAAGAACTCAGAATTTTCACTAATCCTACCCTTCAATCCTTATTTTAACTATAATTATATGTTTAAAACTATGAGGTATTATACCATTACTTTAAATTTTATGACTCCATTAACAATTGCTTTTACTTTTTGTAGGCACTTTTGAAAAGCACGCAAAAAGGACACTGCAGGGCACTCGACAAAGCAAAAAAAATACATTGTACCATCTTCTGCTCATTGAGTTCTTAGCATTGAAGAACACCCTTATCTTATCTATTCTCCATTAAGTTTCCCTACGAGCAAAGAACTATACCTCTCCATTTTTATTCCAGTGTTGTGTTGAGTCTTAAGTCCTTGAGTCAGTAACTTCTTTTCTCACCAATTCCTCTTCATCAATTTATGTCTTGGGTCTATGAGATTTCAAGTTGTTAAGATTTTGTATGTATTTTCAGCCATGTATTTAAACATGAGCTAGTTTCTTTTGGAATGGAAAAGCTATGAAGCTGTTAAATCTCTGTCTTTGAAACTCTATGACTGAACCTTCTGGATTTCTGTTGTTTAATTGTTTTAATATCTTGTATCAACTGACCTTGAACATGACTAAGAAAGAAACTTCCAAAGGGAAGGGATTTCAGACAACTAAACAATATGAGGAAGGTGAGAGTATGTAAACACTTCATCGGTTGCTTTAGGAATAGAGACCACCTCGCTCATTAAAGGTCCAGCACCGAGTCATTGTTGGGAACAAACCGCTATAGGACCATTTAAGTTCAGTAGCTTGAGGGATCAAGTACTGGCAATGAAAGAGATCTGAACAAATCCATTTGACAAGGTCTTAAGCCTAGATTATAGTTGGTTTAATAGTGGATTAGTGGATCCATTCCTTTTCTTAATCGTCTTTCC